CTCTGCTTTCGCCAAAGAATTACTGAGTCGGAGGCCCGAACTCGCCGCCGCGTTGAATTCTCACGGCTCTTCGCCGCTTCACCTGGCGGCGGCAAAAGGGTCCGTGGAAATAGTGAAGTATTTGGCGCTGGTCAACCCAGATCTGTGTTTGGTCTGGGATCGCGATGGGTTGACTCCCCTGCATCTGGGTGTGATCAAGGGCAGAGTTGGGGTGGTGGCTGAGTTGGCCCGGGTCAGACCGGAGGTGATTCGGATGTTGACTCACGGAGGCGAGAGTGGGTTCCACTTGTGTGTGAAGCATCACAGGTTGGAGGTGTTGAAGGTTTTGGTGGAATGTATTGGGAGAGACGATGAGTTTGTGAATTGGAGAGATGGTGATGGCAACACAGTCTTACATGTGGCTGTGGCCAAGAAACAATTAGAGGTACACAAAGTCTTTACCTTTTTGTGGAAAGATTTAGTCTTTTGTGAATTCTAAATTAGTCATTTCATGGGCATGAACAGAGCTGTATAAATGTTACATAGCTGTAGGTAGCTCAATTGATTGTTAACAAATTTAAACAGTGAAGAAAAACAATCTACCCAGGTCACATTTATGTTGTTAATTGTCTTACCCTTTCAAGCATTTTTGCCTCAAATGTGATCAGCTGCAATGCTTGACATGACCTTGTTTCTTATAGTTTCATTTCAATTCTAATTTATGATTTGTTTTATTATGATACATTGCTTACTAGAAATTTCATTCCTTTGTTTTGAGAAGAAATGGTGTCAATTTTTGTGCAGGTTATAACTTATTTGCTCACTTATACGAAGATCGACGTAAGTGCCCAAAATGCAAATGGGTTCACTGCATTGGACGTCTTATCTCATAGTTCCAGAGATTTACGAGACTTGGGAATCAAAGAGTCCCTCCAAAGAGCTGGAGCTCAAAGAATGAACAAGAACGCAGCCATTATATATCATCTGGAACTGGATACATTGCAATCATCGAACTCGATTTCAATGCAACCACTGATGTCAAAGAAAATGAGTATGGTGGTTAAGAAGCAGCAGCATATTGATTGGTTGGGCAGGAAACGAAGCTCATTGATGGTTGTGTCTTCCCTAATCGCTACAGTGGCATTTCAGTCTGCAATATCACCACCCGGTGGAGTTTGGCAGGATGACTATTTGACAGACTCCAATGGCAATCCGGTGGAGCGTCCACACAAGGCTGGGCAGTCAGTGATGGCCTACACACAGCCTATCCAATATGGACAGTTCATGATCTTCTGCACCATTTCCTTCCTTTCATCTCTGAGCATAATTCTGCTACTTGTGAGCGGATTGCCGCTGAAGCGGCGGAGGTGGATGTGGCTGCAGATGGTGACCATGTGGATCGCAATCACTGCGCTAACAGGGACGTATTTCATTGGACTGATATTCACGACGCCAGGGCAGAACAGGAATTCTGTGTATCGTATGACCCAAGTTTCTGTGCTCATATGGATGGCCCTGATGGGGACTGTGTTTATCGGAAATGTGATAAGGGCGATCATCTGGCTTCTGAGAAAGCATGGATACATGAAGCCGAAAGAAATAGATGCTTCACTCTATGTAGACTACGAGGACAATGACGACCTTTGAATATGTAGATTGTTTTCTCAATTTTGTGGCAATATCAATTTATTTTGTGAAATACTTCATTGAAATGTGGAGATATATATATATATCTCCTGTAAATTCTGGTACTATCTCATATATAAAGGGAAATAGTTGAATTTTAAGGCTTATGTGTATATGTGCTGTGTTTTTGTTGCTCTTTTTTATTTGTTTTAAAAATGAAGGTAATGCATACAAGGTTAGTTAGTCAGAGCAGTGAGTTCCGCCTCTTACACTCGAGTTCAAATTCCTCCCAAATAGAAAACAGGAAATTTAAATGATTTATCTTTGGATTTTTTAAAATTAGAAAAGGATTAATTTTGCACTAGAACCTTCTTCACTATTCCGGATAGGAAAATGCTAGACTTACCACTTTTTTCATACCACATTCATACCACCTCTCTAATAGAGGTGGGCCCCATTGTATTGGTGGGCTCCACCTCTATTAGAGAGGTGGTATAAATGTGGTGTGAAAAATGTGGTAAGCCTAGCATTACCCTTCTGGATATAAAGAGACAACTGCCAGCTTTTCTTTGTAGGCTCTAGAATTCTCTCACATTTTCTCGTTATTTCCTTAACTACTTTATAAATGCGCCACTCTCATCCTTCATCTTCCATACTAGTTGATTGTCTGCTGCCTGATATATTTGAGTATCTGAGTCTCTCAAACAGTTTGCGTTCAACATGGATTTGAGAAACGCGGGCAATTTCTTCGCGGTCTTGGAAGACATGCTAGACTTGGCAGAGCAAGAGCCCGAAAAGTCCCGAAACAACAACAGAAACAACAACCACCCGTTTCCTGTAAATTCTGGTACTATCTCATATGTAAAGGGAAATAGTTGAATTTTATGTGCTGTGTTTTTTTTGCTCTTTTTTATTTGTTTTAAAAATCAAGGGCAAACGCATACGAGGTTAGTTAGTCAGAGCAGTGAGTCTCGCCTCTTGCACTCGAGTTCAAATTCCTCCCAAAGAGAAAACAGGAAATTTAAATTATTTATCTTTGGATTTTTTTAAATTAGAAAAGGATTAATTTTGCACTAGAACCTTCTTCACTATTCTGGATATAAGGAGACAACTGCCAGCTTTTCTTTGTAGGCTCTAGAATTCTCTCACATTTTCTTGTTATTTCCTTAACCACTTTATAAATGCGCCACTCTCATCCTTCATCTTCCATGCTAGTTGATTGTCTGCTGCCTGATATATTTGAGTATCTGAGTCTCAAACAATTTGCGTTCAACATGGATTTGAGAAACGCGGGCAATTTCTTCGCGGTCTTGGAAGACATGCTAGACTTGGCAGAGCAAGAACCAGAAAAATGTGGTGTGAAAAATGTGGTAAGCCTAGCATTACCCTTCTGGATATAAAGAGACAACTGCCAGCTTTTCTTTGTAGGCTCTAGAATTCTCTCACATTTTCTCGTTATTTCCTTAACTACTTTATAAATGCGCCACTCTCATCCTTCATCTTCCATACTAGTTGATTGTCTGCTGCCTGATATATTTGAGTATCTGAGTCTCTCAAACAGTTTGCGTTCAACATGGATTTGAGAAACGCGGGCAATTTCTTCGCGGTCTTGGAAGACATGCTAGACTTGGCAGAGCAAGAGCCCGAAAAGTCCCGAAACAACAACAGAAACAACAACCACCCGTCTCGGGCGTACGTCCGAGACGCGAAAGCGATGGCGGCGACGCCAGCGGACGTGGTGGAGTACCCGAACGCGTACGTGTTCGTGGTGGACATGCCGGGAATCGAGGCGGGAGAAATTAAAGTGCAGGTGGAGAACGACAACGTTTTGGTGCTGAGCGGGGAGCGAAGGCGGGAGGAAGAGATCAAGGAGAGTGGGGTTAAGTACGTGAGGATGGAGAGGAGGGTTGGGAAGTTCATGAGGAAGTTTGTGCTGCCAGAGAATGCCAATTTGGATGCGATTTCGGCGGTGGCTAAAGATGGGGTGCTCACTGTGAGGGTGGAGAAGCTGCCTCCGCCGGAGCCCAAGAGGCCCAAGACCATCCACGTCAATGTTGCTTGAAAATCATTCGTCAGTTCAGTCAGTGACTCAGTGTAGAATGAAACTTGATGTCATTGGTGTTGGGTTTTTCTTTTGGGAAAGAACATGTGTGTATCAACTTTGAATAAATTCGAAGTTTGTTTGTGTTGTTTGTCTGTTTGTCTTTTTCTTTTGATTTTTGTATCGTGAGATAGATTTTTGTTGGGTACTGAAAACTTTTGTGGGTTTTTCTTGAGAACAAACCCAGCTTGTTTATCATTTCATCGCACTTCTCCAAATCCTTGCATCCCTTCCTTACCACCTCCTAATACCCAAACTACCACGAAAGCAATCGAATCACTCAAATCAATTACACAATCCACGAAGATCCACCCTGTCGCCGAATTTGAAATCTGAGCTCTTCTGATTCGCCTCCTCTAAGCTCAAACTCTGTTTCTCGCTGGGTTGAGAAGTTGCAGAGAAAAGGAGAGAGAGAGAGAGAGAGAGATGGGTTAGGGTGAAAGTGCAATATTGCCCCTGCACGCACGCAGCACGTTGAAACTAACGGAATATTCCAATTGGTCAAAAACTAACGGAATATCTCAATTGGTCTTGATTTGCTGAGTGACCAAAATATGATGATAAAAATCGGAAAATTGAAAGTTGAGTGACCAAAATTAACTTCGATCCTAATTCGAGTGACCAAAATTGTAATTATTACCCCTTAAATAAATAAGAAGGCTTGCATTTCAAATAGACAATTACACATTCATTAATGCCAGACATTCTGGAACTACTACTACTACCAGCTAAGTTAGTTGGGAACTTATATATATCATGTGTTTTCTATCATTCCTTTTTCATTTCCTTGTTATTTACAATAGGACAAACGAATAGAGAATGATTATATATATTATAATAAACTTTGGAGAAAGGTTGTGTAGGCTTGCCACATCCTCAGCTCATGCATTTTGTATTAGGCGATGGCATGGCCACGCGGATCCCAAATCTCCCTCTGAGCAACCACGTAGCAGGCTTACAGACAAAAAACACCGATACCTGCTCTGCTCTCATCACTTCACAAAAAGTAGAGCTAGAGATCTGGCGTCACCCTCACACCTCTTCCTCCCATTTCTTCCAAATCTACAGACACTTGTCAATGCCTAAACCAAAGATTGTCTTTGTAATTAGCAAGCAATTACATAACTCCAAAAACTTGCGCGCCAATCTGTCACTCTAAGAACAATTACAACTAGACTACCCTGACAGATGTACAACCAAAACTACACCGCTTCACATTTTCCTCACTTCAAGTTCAACCTAGCTGTATAAAACCAAAGAAAATCTCATATATTGATCCAAGCTTTTCTTTTCATTTTGATATATAATATCATGAGTATGGAGGTGAGCCTGAGAAACATGGGGTTCGAGCCAAACCTGCTCGAGACCCTGCACGACCTACTGGACTTCTCCGACGAGCAGAACCAGTCGAGCCACCATGCGCCTTCGCGCCAGTACGTGCGCGAGACCAAGGCCATGGCTGCCACGCCAGCCGACATCAAGGAGACTCAAAACGCCTATATTTTTGTGGTGGACGTGCCCGGGCTGAGGCCGGATATGGTCAACGTTCAAGTTGAGGACGACAACGTGCTGGTGGTGAGCGGGGAGAGGAGGAGAGAAAAGGAGAGGGATCAGGGGATTAAGTATTTGAGGATGGAGAGGAGGCTTGGCAAGTACCTCAAGAAGTTTGTGCTGCCTGAAAATGCTGATATTGAGAAGATCTCTGCCGAGTGTCAGGACGGGGTGTTGAATGTGACTGTGGCGAAGAAGCCGCCGCCTGAGCCTAAGAAGCCCAAGACTATTCAGGTCCAAATAAGCAGCGGCCAAGGCAGCGGTCAGGACAAACAAATCGGCCAAGGCGGTGGTCAGGGCGGCGAAGGAGGACATGGAGGTGATCAAGGCGGCGGGCAGGGAGGCCAAGGTGGTGGACAAGGGGGCCAACATGGCAGTCAAGGTGGACAAGGTGGGGGCCAAGACAGGTAAGGGCAAGGAGGGCAAGGCGGGCTGGGCTCTGATGGGCGTGCATGAATTTTGTGGGGCAGTAACTGAAGATGGTACATGTTCCATGTATATGTAAATAAAGCTGCGTGCATGCATATATGGTTCTCTGTTTGGGGTTCCGTCATGTGTAATTATCGTATGCTTTGGTCGTGTCTCTTTTGTTTTGCTGCTTGTTTGAATAAGAAGAGTGGAAGGTTGTAGTTAATCATGGGGCGCATGTACGTCTTGTAATCTTTTTTTTTTTTGGGTGTCTTCTTTCTTAATGAGGGAATGTGGATGTCCCTTACTTTTGAAATACACCCTACTTCATCTCTCTCTCTCTCTCTCTCTCTCTCTTTCTCTACACCGAAGAAGATTTCTTCTTCTAGCAATTACTCTAAATTCTTGTCGAAGGTTCATATGCCGAACAACAAATCTGTCTTTGGATTACTCAATTCTTCAACAATTTACACCAAATTTTGTTGGATTCAGAGGAGGCAAATAGCGGGAGAGGTAGAGAGGTATAAAGTAGGGTTTACGCAGAGGGTCGGGGAGGGAGCTACTGGGTAGTGGTGGAGAATTGGTGTTGGAAGATGCATGAATTGGTGTTAAAAAAATTATAATTCTATTACTTTTAGAAATTCTAAATTTTTTAGTTATAAAAGAAATTGACCGAAATAAACTGCAGATAGTTAATAGTAGAAATTAAAAGTTCAAGTGGTACGTAATTTCGTACATGCCTAAAAATTCATGTGTTTATTTTTACTACTAGTAGTAGTGGAACTGCACCAATTATCCATCGGGCTGGTGCTTCTCTTTTCCAGAAGATTTTTTCGCCAAATAAAAAGCATAATGTTTTCGTACGTTTACCGTAATGACCAATGTGACCCTGACTCTACTAAACCTTCCACAACGTTCTAGACGCATATAGAATAAGCAAGCGAACCTACTGGAACCTCCTTACTTCATTCCACGTGTCTCCAGAACCTTCCATTTCCTCTCGCCGCTAAGCCAGGTGGTTCCTCAATTTATCTCCTCTATAAATTCCCACAACCCCCGCCTTTCTTCTCCATCACAGCAACAAAAATTCAGAGTTCAAACAAAGCACTAAGCAAGCACAAATTCAAAGCGTGAATTCCAGCCAGCAGGAAGAGAAACATGGACGTGAGAATCGCGGGTTTGGATTCCCCACTCTTCTCCACACTGCAGCACATGATGGACTTCGCGGACGAGCCTGAGAAATCGTTCAACGCCCCCACCCGCACCTACGTCCGCGACGCCAAGGCCATGGCCTCCACGCCGGCGGACGTCAAGGAGTATCCCAACTCCTACGTCTTCGTCGTGGACATGCCAGGCCTCAAGTCCGGAGACATCAAGGTCCAGGTGGAGGACGACAATGTGCTTCTGGTATCCGGCGAGAGGAAGAGGGCGGAGGAGAAGGAGGGGGCTAAGTATGTCAGGATGGAGAGGAGAGTCGGCAAGTTTATGAGGAAGTTTGTACTGCCTGAGAATGCTAATGTGGAAGCCATTTCTGCTGTTTGCCAAGATGGGGTCCTGACTGTGACTGTGGAGAAGCTGCCTCCGCCTGAGCCAAAGAAGCCCAAGACCATTGAGGTCAAGATTGCTTGAGGAGTTTTCTCTGAGATCTGGGTTTATGAGCTTCATTATGATTATAGCTTATGATAAGGGCATGGGTAGGTTTTAAGGCCTTTTGGTAATAGTCCGATGTGTTTCATTTTCTTGTTTGTTTGTGTTCTGGTGTGCTAATCTTTTGCATTTTCTGATCAGTTGTGATGTGCGGTTTTTATCAATGAAGCATATGTTTGTAATATTTCTTCTTCAATCTCTGTTTTTTCTTTTTCCTTTTTTTAAATTTTGTGTGGCATTTTAGTCACAAAATCTGAAAACAAGCCACTAAGGGTCTAAAATGGTGCTTAATTAACAAAATAAAGCTTTTAAAAGTGAGGGCAGACCGTTTAACAACAATCGCAATGACTACAATTACGCCGACTCAAATGCGCATGTGCAAACATTTTAAACAGATTGAGATGAGCTCCCACATAACTTCTCTTTGCCGTCGAAGCTCTGTGAGTGTGTCCGTCGGTGACGTTAGGTTTCTCTGATCGATTCCCAGAGCTCCTCCTGACAAACAGAGCAATGAAGAAGCCTTCTTTGTCTTCCTTGGGATCAGTCCGAAGCAAGCATTCAGCTGCAAGCCAAGAAAAAAGTGAAAAGTGAAAATCTGATCATTTTTATCAACATATTTATTTGTGTAGGTTTAAAATTTTACTAACCGCCCTCGACAACCGGGAGACCACGGCGGTGCCATTCTGGGAAGGGAGTTTCTAGTTGAAAACCATTGGATGCAGCAAGTGGTAGAACAGATTTAACAACATCTTCATTTTCAACTTGGTTGACAGAGCATGTACTGTAAACAACTCTCTCCACATCCGGAACTGGTAAAAGTGGTATACGCATCCATTGATATCATTGAATACTCACAGATTATCAACCACTGGATTGTTGAGTCTTTGGAATTAATGGAAACTAAAAACCATGAGGCAACATCTGATAGAGAAACAAACTTACAAGATAAAGCGTGAGCTAGAGCTTTTCTCTGGAAGGCCGCAAGCTTGTTCAGTCTTTCTATGCTGGTAAAATCAGCAGCTTGACCTATGTATTTTAGAAAACAAAGAATTAAACTAATTTGCAAAAACAAAAGGAACTTAGACTTTTACACTGAATAAACTTCCTTTCTCGTTATTGGATGAGACTTCTGTCCTAAACTTCTGCCAGAGGCGTATAAACACTCTCAGATGGTGCAGACTGTCATTATATTTCAGCACGGTGAATTTCAAGCAATTACAGACTTAAGGAGCTATCTAACCGTAGAAGTTACCTGGAGCAGAAGATGGGAGCAAATGATCTAATCTTACAGAAGCAGTCCCAGATCCAGAGCAGGAAGGATCTAAGAGAATGGCGCGCACCTGTAATATTGAATTTGGTTGTAAGCATGCATGGGCGATGTTAAGAAACATGTAATTGCAACTAAGAGGAGAAGAGTGACAGAGGATTGGAAGTTATTTTATATCTTACCTTGGAATATGGAGGATCTTCTGGGTTTAAGTCTAAGAAATCTCCATGCAAAACCTTAATATCTACCGTCCAGGTTAAGTCAAATGTCATATTATATTAAGTTGATAATGCAACAGCAAACATGAGGAAGTATCATATTTCATATTACTCAAGTCATAGAAATGGGAAATCTCATGCAACAGTAAGATTTCTGTAATTCCACTACTTCCAACAAGAAATAAGAGAGTAAAATGAAAATAAACAAATAATATAGGCAGAAGGATACTAGAAGCACCAGAGAGTCTGATAGTCTCTTTTAAACGTTTAACCCTTTCTTCATTCAGCTCACATGCTATGACCTTTCCCTTTCCTCTCATAAGAGCTGCAATGTGTACAGTTTTGTTTCCAGGAGCTGAGCATGCATCGAGAACCTTCAAGGAAAATCAGCTTTAGTAGGAATAAAACTGTTGTATCAATCTCGAATTCTCAACCCCAATCCTAGCTAGAAACATAACAAAAAATTGCTGACAGCGACCTAAGTGCACAGTAATTACTGATGTACAAACTTTACCGACCTCCCATTCTGGTTTTGGAGCAAGGGCTGCTGCCACCATAGAGCTTGCCTTTCCCTATGTAATAAAATGATCAACAGATGAATGAGAAATTTCTATCACAGCTAAGACACATATTTTTCAATGGCACAGAACCATCAGTGTTGTGCCTCAACAAATAAGAACCAGATGACATCAAGGTTGGTTGAAAATTTTATAAGAAAACTACTCTTGCAAAAGATTATTGAAATTCTTACTTGCATAAAGACATTTCCATTCTTTATTAGATGATGATCATGAAGATCACTACCCGGTGGAAGAACCAACAAGTCAGGAACCAGGTCATCCTTTTGAACCTATATGTAAGAAAACCATAAGAGAAAAAGTGTTTCAGTAACACAATGATTAAATTACAGAAGGCTAGCACATGAAAAACTCAATCATAAGATTACTTCTAATGTGTAACAAACAACATCCTTTAGAACATAATCACATTCTATCAAAAAACTCAACCATAAAAGTTCCTGAAATACCTTGAATTGCTTCTGTAATTCAAGTACGGCAGTCTCAACATCCATTTTCAGAGTATTCACACGAACATAACGAGGATTTGAAATATCTGCAACAGAAATTAGTGTTAGAACAAAAACTAATTTCCTAATTTTTGGTCCACATACTAACAGTTTAAACTCTTAGGTACATGGCAAACCAACAAATCAGTATTCTACTGCCCAATACCATAATCCCCATTGGTATTTCACAAAATACAAAATTGCAAATCAACATAATTTATTTCCATCAGTTTCACTCTAGTAGCCCTACAACTGAAGAGTAGGCTCAACAAGATGAATGTAAAAATAATAATGTGAAGCCAAACACACACATACACACCAGGTATATCATAAAGAGCTATCAACTCTTCCACACTCTTCACTTTTTTCTTCACTAAAAGCCGCGCTAGAGCAGCCTGCAGAGCCTCTTTGCGACGCATGAGAAACTTCTCCGCATCCCCAACCGCTGATGAACTCACCTTTAGATTTCAAATTCACAGTTCATATAAAAAATTACAACCACGGCATGAAATTAGTAGCACAAAAGCTCATGCTGTATAAAAGACAGCCTAAAAGACATTACCTGGCCAAAAAGAATATCATAGGTGACTATGTATACTAACTCGTCTTGCTTCTGCAATACCACAAGTAACCATTTCAGTGCTTAAAATGCTAGCCAAACTAATAAACAAATACATAAATAAACAATAAATGAATTTCTAATTTCCATGGATAACAGAGAACGTGTTCTTCTTATACCTTCCACTTGCTATTCAATACGTCGGCGGCCTTCAACACGTCTTGGATTATCAAAAGATCTGAAAGCAGATAAAGGCAGAAAATCAATTTTCTCTGCGGCCAAACAGAACCGAAGCTATGAAAATGTGTGCATTTCTGAACTTGGCGAGGGTGGTGAACTTACACTTTAGGGTTTGACAGATCAAAGCAAACGTGCCCTTCTTGTTCCTCACTGAGGGACCGTAAACGAGCGTCTTAATGGAGCCGACGGACTGGCGCTTGGCGTCTCCTTGGAGAACGAGCTTCAATACCTTCGCCGCCTCTCTCCTAGCGAAGTAAGCCGACCTCTCCATGCTTAAGTGACGCCGGTTATCCGATTTCTCGGCGGCTGCAGACGGCGGGGTCGCTCTGTGCTTTCGGCGCGCCATGGCGTCACGGTAAGAGCACAGTAAACACAGAAAGGGGCAGTGACAAGAAAGCACTGACAGTATATGTTTTCCAGCGAACGACGTCGTTGGGTACCTATTCGTTTACTTTTACGGTAGCAGGGTACCTACTCGTTTGTTGGGTTCTAACTGCCCTAATGTAGCGGTTGATTTAAAATGAGATTTTCTATTTAAATCCCGTAATTTTCTTTGTTCACTTTAATACTCAAATAATTAAGCTATAAGTTTTATTATTGTGTAAAAAGACAAAAAAGGTCATCCAACTTAATAATTAGCCCTAGTACATATATACACACATCCCACACCCCACCACTCTTCATATCAAGTTTTAGAAAAATACAAACTCTTCTACATTCTATTGCATGATTACTCTTCTATTTTAAAGACATAGAAAATTGACGAGCCTGTCTCTTTACATATGCGTGGGAGTTGATGGAAAGGCTTGTTGATTATTAACTCAATAATACCCAAGTGTTGGAATTCCAGTTACAGTTCTTGGAGAGAGATAAAGTTGTTCTCTTTCTCTAGAAAGTATTAAATAATTTCGGGTTTAGGGTTCTATTTGTTTGTGTTTTTTTTGCTGGGAACAAAGAAAATTGTATGGTTTAAATAGAAAATCTCTTTTATTTCTTATTTTTTCAGTTTGAGGTGTATTTAAGGGTAATTTAGGAAGATAGTGGGGTTTTCTTAGAAATTGTGAAAATTTAAATTAAAAGATGGGGTGAACTTAGAACATAGAGTGAACTAAAAGAAGTGTGGGGTTTAAATAGAAAATCTCTTTAAAATTAAAGAATAAAATGTAATACGGACTAAGAGAAGTGTTGATAAGAACATTTACTGTTACACCTGTCCTATAATGACTTCACCTCTTTCAATATCAATTGTATCAACAAAAGAAAAACTATTCTAATGTATAGGAAGGTGTCAAACTTCGATACAAGGGGACAAATTCACCCTTGCAACTGTTTTGTTTTTTTTTTTCCTTCGTACAGCTCCCACTAAATTGTATGAAAAATTTGTGTTTCAACGGTATTGCGTAGCTGCCGAACTTGATCTTGACATGATGAGATTCCAAAGACTGAAATGAAACTGATGGGAAGGTAGAAAGGGTTGGTTTGCTCGACCTTTGAAAGCTGTGTTAATGAGTGGACCCTTTAACAACGGCACTGGAAGTTACCAACAAACTTCCTTTGGTTAATCGTTTCGTAAAGGCCTGCCGGGCTGTCCTGATCCTAATTTGAAAGGACTATCAGCTTTTTGTTAAATTCTTGTTGACGGATTGATTGAAATTGAACAATGGGTCTCAATGACTTAGCTTGAGACGTTTGTAAGGGGAGAAATACTAAAATCAGACTGATAGGTAACATTGACTCAAAGAAAAAAGAAAAAAAAGGAAAACCCATCTCCAAGACTGATTTTTAATGAAATGCCATCCCATGTTAGAAAAATTCATTTGTTGTGTTGTGCTTC